TGCTGGCTGGGGAATTCTGGGAGTTGAAGTCCACTCATCTTAAAGTGGCCAAGTTTGGACAACACTGCTTTAAGTCCTGCATTTTCTGGCATCATTGAGGGTTGCAATTGCTCCCCGCTTCATAACGCTTGTCCTAACCGGCATATTCAAAAACTTTCCTGCATTTGATCTAACCACCAAAAGCCAGCTCATTACTTATAATAGAAGAGGTAAGCACATGCTCCTTACTAGTTCCTGACTGAAAATGGTGACACCTGAAAGTGCTAGACTGAGGTTAGGAAACTGAATCTTCCTTTTGTTTTGTGACCTGATACCACTGGACTTTTTTTTTTTTTTTTGGAATATGGGGATGTAACAAGAGATCACTATTGGTAGTCTGAGAACATTAAACAATCATCTTTCACTTCGGAGCTACAGAACATATTTTTGGTAAATGATACTTGTTGTACCTTATTATTCCATTATTCTTTTGAAACAAAACTAATGCCAGTCATTTACCTCAGCAGATTGGTAGTTCATTTTTCCATTATGCTCAGCTCTACATAAATTCTACCTGTCACTATTGTTTAAGGAATATGTTAATTATAAGTATAATTTGTCAATTAAACAAACACACACATACCCAACAGAGACTTGACATGTTTCTAGACCTTATCATTCATATACGAATTATAGGACACACGTACAATTTTAGTAAGTTTTTAGATTTCTGTTTTATCTAGAATCATATTCACTGTATCTGTATTACAGCCCCAAAGAGATTTCAGGCAGGACACAGAAGAGCAAATCAAAAACTGAATCTTTCAAAACCACCTTAAAAACGACCACAGTGCTATTAATGATTGGAAGACATGCACGCTCAGCCTGTGGGCCAAGCAAGATGGTTTTCAGGAGCTTTCTGAAAGAGAGAAGGGTGGGAGTGAAGCATACCTCTGTGGGCAGCATTATTTTTTCACTGATGTTTCATCTATAATCATGCACAGATTTTGAGAAAAGATTGCAAAAGTCTGTTCTTTTAAGTTTGGGAGCAAAATTACTCATGTTGTTGGGACCCATCCTGGTAATGTGATAGTCCCATCTTGCAAGAAAAACTGGCCCCAGCCCGCAGCTATGGGTGAACTAATGATGAAAAGTATTTTATAACTTCAGATGTCACAAGTACTTGCCTGGAGAACATATTGCCATATCCGCAAAAGAGAAGATACAGATGGGCAAGAACAACATAGAGTGTATCTCAGTACCTAATCAAAGACCAGCTGATCACATTAGAGCAAGCAGTATATAATTTTTATCCGAAAAGGAGAAGAATTTCTTCTTACCTGCGTGGATATTTTTCAGTAAAGCCAATGTAAGCAGCAAAGGACAGAATGAGGAACAAAAAGCCTAGGAGAAAGAGGTGGGATGACCTAGGAAACTTCCTGCCTAATCTCATGGTTTTATGCCGAACATTCAGAATATCTCTACCTTTCCTGGCCCCAGATACGCTGCAGACTGGCTAAAACTCAGAGCGTTATTCCTCTGATATCACCTGGCCAGGGAGGGCAGGGCCCAAGCTCCACTCAGAATCTCTCAACTCTCCTCTGCCAGAAAGACAGAGAAGGCTACTTCCTCATATTAGGATTATTGTTCTTGGAGGCAGGCTGCCCAAGAGGAAAGACACCCACAAGTTAAATAAGTAAGTACAAATATTATCTGAGCTCACAAATGTGTGTATTTAAGGTGAGTGAGTTGTGAAAGGAACAGGGCTCCTTTGCAAAGCTGCTGAAGGCGCAACTTTTTTCAAATCTGCATAAATAAGGTGCACCTGTCCAAGTCCTCTCTTCTAAACCAGTGTTCCTCAACCTTGGCAGCTTGAAGATGTGTGGACTTCAACTCCCAGAATTCCCCAGCCAGCATGTTCTAAACACAATGACTTTTCTGCTATAAGCAATGACTCCTTGATTGTTAGATGATATATGGGAAATTTGGTTAATGAGCTCACTAGGGCAACTGAGGCAAGCCTGGAAGCAATTGAAACCCTCAATGATGCTGGGAAACGCAAGACTTGAGTGTGCAGACTATCTCCCTCCTCCTCCTTCATGTTCCCCCTTCCATTGAGTGGAATGCTGAGGAGGCAACAGCCAATTTCTTAGTCATCCCAGGAGGAAGAAGAGTCATTTTTGCCTGTTGCTTCCTGCAAAGTTTGGATGCAGTGTATGGCCATTCAACTCATTTGCCCCAAGTACTGCCTCCAAGTGCGTATGAGGAAGAGAAAGAGGAGGAGGAAAAAAGGTACAATTTAACATTTCAGGAAACATGCATAGATTTTTATTGTACATGCCATTATGCCATGTGCATTTCCTTGGGAGTAGGACCCACCCAACTGTTTACTCTTTCAAAGTAAATATGAACAAACAAGAACTAGGGAACACTTTCCATTTTTATGGAAATAAGTGACTTTCCATAAAAGGGTTTCTTTTTTTAAAAAAAGTGCAATATTTACATTTTTTGAACTGTCATTTTAATTGACAAAGCATATTTGGTTTTAGATCATTTCGTGGATTCACACAGTACACTGACTAATAAATGCATATATGGGTGGGTTCATATAAAGTATGGTTGGAGAGTTTTGCGTGTCCATCCAGGCCCTTTTTGCACTGAAGGGGGTAGTTTTGCAACTAGATCTCATCGTGCAGAAGTGGGGAAAAGCATCATTGTAAAAAAATATTTTCTATCCTTTGTTAAAGAAATGTTTCCTATTTATTAATGTACAGTAGGAAAGATAACATCCACAGCAGTGATAAAGAACAGGTTTCTTAATAGAAGACCATCCTCTAGTCTCATCTATATAGAGTGTTACATTGATGGAATAAAATGATTACATTTTTCAAAAAAGAGATAAGTTATAATGCAAACCTCAAGATGAGAAAAGCCAATGCAGCTGAGAAAACTGGTGAAAAGTGTAGCGATGAGGCAAAGCCAAGTGCCTGCCAGCTCCACAAATCTGTACTTTCTCTGGTCCTAAATTCAGTGGGACATAGCATGTGTGAGTTTGCACCATATGTCTTCCAAGATCTGAAGGAATATATTATTTCCCCCTTTAATGGAGCAGAATGCAGATAGGATTGTGATGCAAGCAAAATAAATCCTTGACTTCAGGGAGAAAGATACAAATATTAAGGGAAAAATGTTAGCCACATAAAAATCCCCAAAGGTGCCAATATCTATAGTAGATAGTGGTCATAATTCTGATATTTATCATTATCTATACAAAATGGTACTGAAGGAGGCTGTATGAAAAATGTAAGAGAGATTGTGTCAGCCTTACCTGGTAGACCAGACAGGAACCATGACCAGATCAGCTAATTCTATTTTATTTTATAGGTTACATTAACAGAATCTTGCAAATCTGAAAGTACAATTCTTTTCCCATCTCTTTTACCCCCTGAAAAATTAGGGACGGTCTCTTCTGAGCCTCTTGTCCTGCCCACTATCCAGCTGTGGGCTTTGCTGTCTCTTATCTGACCGTTCCCTAGGCAGCATCTCTGGGCCCAGTCTCCCAAGGTCTTTCCCATATACTGTTACAGATTGTCTGCTTTCATATTAATTATTAAGCCATATTATACATGTTAATGTAGTTAAAGGGATTTGGGCCTATCAGATTATTAATATACTCTGGCAGCCCAGAAGAGCTGGTTTAAATGAGGTACAATTTTTTTCGCCATATAACAGTTTGCTCAAGCCACAAGAGTTGCTGGGGATGCTCGACTTAATTTCCTTTAGACATGAAAATTGTGCTTGCCTGGGCTAGGAGCAAATAGACCCAGGTTTTACTCCACCCTCAACCATGGAAGCTCCTTGGGTGACTTTGGGGCAGGCCCTCTCTCTCAGCCCAACCAACCTCACAGAATTGTTGATCTGGGGGAAAAATTGAGGAAATGTTCTAAGTAAGCCACCTTAGGCTCCTGGAAAAATAGTGGAATATACATCTAACAAAGATGTAAATAGTTAACCACATTTTCTGGATTTGCACTCCATACTGAACCATGTATTACCCACATGGGCTAGGGTTGTACGACAATATGGCTGGCTAGTTAAGTTGGTGTGTCATTCAGATACAACTATTATGAGTTAAGAAAGGGAGACAACCTTCTCTATGGAGAAAATCCCTCTCCACTGAAGTGCAACTGGAGCTCATTTCATAGTGTTTTCTGCCCCAAATTAAACTTCTTTATTTAGCTGATCATAGTTGAGTTGATCCTTTCAGTTCTTCCTAACCTGCATACAATAACTGCTCTGTTCCTGTTACTATATTTCAGAATCATATGATCATGTGAGGTTTTATTTATTACATCACCATAGAATTTTTGGATTAAAGGCAATTGAACAATCTAATAAGAATAGCACAGGAGCAGGGGGCTGGTTAAAAATGGAGTTATTTCTGTTTTAGTTGGCTTTTTGTGGGAAGTACATTCAGCTCCTTTCAAAATTACATTTTTTGCAGCTTATTTTCTTTCAGTTTGGACAATAGATATTTTAAAGTGTATTAGCATGATGCGTACATAAAAATGTTTATGGGGGGGCAGAGCAGTGCCAATGTTATTGTCAAGTCGTTTTCTCCTAACTGCCTTAAGTGTCAGGCCTAGCCCAAGGAACTCCAAGAGACAGTGCAAAATCAGTCCAGTTGTGTTTATTAGCTACAACTTCTAGCAAGAATCTTCCCAGACTGAAACCCCATCTCCCAAAGTCCTCCAGCCACAACAGTGTGAATTCCTCAGGGAGGTGCCAGTCTCATCCTCTTGTTACTCCCACGCTCTTCTGGCGAGCTAAGAAAATGTTTATCTCCCTGAGCCCGGCCTTCATAATTCCATTCCATCACATTAAGTGATGATACTATAGTCTTCTTAGTAGGAAATTGTCTTCCCTGGGGCAATTTGTTCTCAACAAAGTTGCTCTCTTTGCATAACTGGCTTTGTTCCTAAAATTCTTTTGCCCTTCAAAAAATTCTTTTGCCCTTTTTATGAACCTGAAGAATAAATTATGTCTCTGGCAAAAGCAGTTGAGCAGCATTCTGATGTGGGGAGATGTTCTCACTAGGTGAAGCTGTTGGACTGTGTCTGTCTTGCTGAAAAGTGCTCTTGCTGACTGCTGTGGGCAAGAAACAGACTTCTGTAAGCTTGGCTGGTAGTCAGCCCATGACAACACAGGCTTCACAGGTTTCAGAGAGATCCGACACTCATCCAGAAGGGTGTAGTGATACTTGCAAGCAATGTGGCTTGGTCTTCCTTGTGGCAGCATCTCCTAGGCCTTTATTCAGAGCTTTATGTTCAGGCTGAGAGTGAGAACCTTCTTGTTCTTCCTGAAAATAAGTGAGATGCTAAAAGGATGCTGATTTTTCATCAGATTTAAAAGGATAGGGGGAAAAACAAAACAGGTGTTCATGCCTATGGCTGTTTTAGAAAGAGCATTTTATCAATTGTTTTTATGCACATCTTTGTATTACATCTCACAATAATCTAAAGAGCAACATGGAATTACATATTTGTGTTTGTTTTGAAATACTTTAGCACTCTCTTGGCCATACATTGATATATCCGGAAAAACGGATATCTGACATTTTAAAGGCCAAACCCAGAGTGTGTTCTCTCCATGTCATGGATGTCAGGCGCATGGAGTTTATTATTCACTCCACTCCCAGCTTCTGTTTTGGAAATCAATTCAGGGCACACAGCCATTTGTGCCAACAATTGCCTTGTTATAATGTTTCATTAAGGCTCCCTGAGGCTTATAAGCAAGGATGCCAAGCAATTGCAATTACAATTATAATCCAAACTCTGTTCCAAGGCATGTGTTACAGCTAATTGAGTTGCCCATTTGTCTCCAGTTTTCCTTGTTTGCTTGCCAGTTTGCTATCACACTGGACCAAAATAACGTAGCAAGGCATCCTTGACCCAAGAGAGGAAAAAGGAGGGCAGGTGCTGGTGGAAGCTTAGGAAAGGCATGTTTCAGTGCTCCAGAAACTGGCTTATAGAAGCTTTCCATGTTCTTCCTCTGCAGCCAGCAATTAGAGGTCTGTTCCATTGCAAGGCTCCTATGGAAAGCAAGCTGATCCAGCAGCTCATAGATGACCTGATAAATTGCCTGCTAGAACAGGAGCATACCACTTTGGGAGAGGGGCTGAGGAGTTGCATTCCCAAGAGTGGGTGAGGCCACAGTAAAAAAGGGGGTGGCAAGGACAAAAACTATACCTGTTTTCATTTAAATTTCAGCCTAATTAACATCAAACTGATCAAGTACTGTTAATATGAGGATGCCCCACTTAGTTCAAATTCAAACTCAAATTCTTGATTACAGGTCAGTGTCCCAAACTAACTAAAACTTACTAAACAAAACCTCCAAAATAAAACATACATACTGTATAAGGCACACAAAATAAAATCTATACGATTGTGCTTGCACTATTTTGCAAACAGCAATATACAAGTTTTACAAACTTTGCAATGACAAGAGTTACCCTGGGGTCCTTATCAGCTGGTAAGCACTGAAAGTAAAATTCTTCAGTCTGTCCCAGAAGTGGAGTTACAAGAGGCATTAGGAGCTCTTTGTGTAT